AGGAGGAGCGTTTCGAGTTATCTCAATAAAAAAGAAGGAAGATATCGTCATTCTCTCAGCCGACAAGGGCAATGCCACGGTCATCATGGATAAAAACGTGTACAATCACAAAATTCAGGGCCTACTTGATGATGGTAGCTACACTAAAATTAAAAGAGATCCCACAAACTCTCCTTGTTACAAAAACGAACAGTATCATCACTGATTAAGCTTTATTAATTGAACAGACCAAACGGTTTTCCTTAAAACCCTCTGCTGCTAGACCACCCAGACTATATGGCTTCCCAAAAATCCGTAAAGAAAGTACACCCCTTCGTCCCATCGTCTCCACCATTGGCTCACCCACCTACTGTACAAACTGGCCCGATATCTGTCTGAGACCTTGCAGCCATTCACTGGTAAGACCACCTCTTCTGTTCTTAACTCAGCTCACCTGGTATCGTCAATTAAAGACATCTCACTGTCCCCAGGTGATTTGCTCGTTGGGTTCGATGTAATTTCTTTGTTCACCAATGTTCCAGTGCCCGAAACCATTGCAATAATTGAAGATTTGGTCCAACTAGGATTGAATGCTGATGTACCGGCCCTGGTGAGACACTGCCTCACCAACACTTACTTCACCTGGAATGGAATATTCTACAAACAAACTGAGGGCACCCCAGTGGGTTCTCCCTTATCTCCGGTTGTAGCCAATGTTTTCATGGAAAAATTTGAGATGGACGCCATCCAGGCATCCACTCTACACCCCTTGTGGAAGAGGTACGTGGATGACACGTTTGTCATCTGGCCACATGGCCGACCGGCTCTGAAATAATTTCTCAACCACATAAAGTCCATACACCCAGCCATCAAATTCACCATGGAGGTAGAACAGGATGAAAACCGCTTGTGTTGCAATCGAAACGTCGTGGTTGTTTGCTTTTGTTTTAAAAAACAAATATATTTTTTTCTATCTACGTGACTTTACCGAAAGAACCAAGAATATGAATTCCTGCAGTCACGAAAGTTTGAAGTCAAAATCTATCTGGAATGTTCTGGAAAATAGGTAAATTTCCAAATATCACTGTCCTGGTCACAAAAGCAAAGTTTGTGGGGAATGATAGCCATTTTCTGTACTTTTGAGGCATAATCAATTAGGAAATAACCCAGGAACAACAAAATTGTGACAGTGTTACCACTCCGAATCAGGAACTTAGGGCAACTTGACACAAGCGACGCTCAGCACAGGGCAGCTTTAGACGCCAATCGCTAAACACTTTAGCCAAGGGGTAGCGGCGGTGCAGTGGTTCACGCACCGCGCTATGAACCTAGCAACGCGAGTTCGATTTCTGGCCACGGACGGCTCGCACCAGTGGCACGTGAAACGTGAACCGGTTATGCCCCCCACCGACCCAGGTTACTAAGGCGTCAATCCCGACCCTGACACCTGCTGTATATTTGGAGTTTGCATTGCTGTCTCTCCTGTGGTCGTGTGGATTTTTCTCTGGGTGCTCCGGTTTTTCCCCTCAACATTTAGAATCAACTTTTGGTTCGAGTATTTGGCTGCTATAAATGTCCACATGATGATATGCCACTTCGATGAGCTATCATTTGTGCTTGCCAGGTCTGCTATATAGCTCAGTGGGCCTTTCCTGGTAAAATATTTTGACAATAGTTTAGACTATAGTTTACAACACATACACAGAGATCACATACTCATGCGTATATTCAACACGGTGTTAGTAAGGCATTTGGCTTCACCCTTTCTAGCATTTGCCGGATGGGGTAAAGCCTTTTATTTTTTTTATTTTGATACCGGCAAAAAAAGGGTTCCATGGTTAGTATGACATTTGTTTCATGTTGTGTATTAGTGTGTGTTGTTTTAGTAAGCCATGTGTTTCACGTTGTGTATCAGTGTGTGTTGTGTTAGTAAAGCATGCGTTTTATGTTGCATATTCATGCGTTTTGTCGCTGAAAACGCAGTGCTGACGTTCCCCGCGCATGTTCAAAACTGAGTTCCCCTGCACGGTATCCAGGCCGCAGCCTGCTCACCCCTTGCTAGGCTTATGACCACCCTGTGCGTCGGTTGGGACCCTCCACTGCGAACTGCTTTTCGTTGTGTGTGTCAAGTTTGCTGTCCTTCCCCCGCACCTCCTGGTTAGCACGGTCGGCTACGTACGGCGCGAAAGAAATTCAACATACGCGCATAGATTCGTACGCATAGGTCCCTGCTGCTAAGGCAACCGCGTGCGGTTATCCTGGCGGCGAATGCGAAACTCGCTGCCAGAGTCTGCCCACCCTCACCCACCCCCCCCCCCCCCCCCGGTGAGAGTCTCCGTAATGAATTAAAAGCACAACCTCGCCGTCTGGTGCATCGGCACAAATTAATGGCGCTGCCTTATTGTTATTTTTTTTACATTGGTGTAAATAAAACAAAAAAAATATCCGCGAGCCATTAAAGTGCGCAAGTGCGCATTAGTCATTCACTTAAGCAATGTTCTCTCTCGGAAGCGGCTTCCACCGACGCGTAATACGTAAGAAGTCAGTCGGCACAGCGCGGCTTCACTGCTCTCTTTGTGAACGCGCCGCGCAAGCGTCTCCCGCTGCACCTCCCCCTCCTGTGCTCTCCCATCATCCTCTTCCCAATAGCTCCTCCGGAGCACACCGACTGTGAAGGTATTGACCCACTTATGAGACATAAGTCTACGTTTTTATTACTACGGTAGTAGGTTTTAATTCAAAGTGAAGCGAGATGTGTCTCCCTGGCACACATGGCCATTTTTTTTTGGGGGGGGGGGGGGTTGGATTCATCTGCCTTGAGAGCTCTTGAGTCGATGTGAGGGTAAAGGCGCAGCCCTGCAACGCACTGGCTCGGGCCGCTGCTGGCGGAAGAGGCCTCCACTGCAGGTAGCTGCAGAGAGCCTCTCACGAGTGCATGTCGGCCTACTCCTTCAGGCTGCTCAGAAATCTTGGAAAAGGTGGCAGTACCCACGCCTCACCCCACTGCACGCAACCTGCCGATCGACCAACTGCGGTGTCCCCATTTATGCTGCTGGGTGGACAGAGGTGGGGGAAGGGGGATTTATTAAACATGCCTCAAGGTTTCAGCTGGCACGCCGGGAGATTGAACCAAACTGGGGACCTCTGGATCGCAAGTCCAGGGTCAAACTTTTACACCATGGCAGCGGCATCCCTTTAATTGTCTTTGATTAAAGGTCGAGCCGTCTTGCTGCCCAAATGAACATATTTGGGGTTGCTCATCTCCCCTTGAAAGCCCAGAGACAATTCCACGGAAAGTCCCGTGTAGCCAGTTACCCAGCTTGTTTTGCAAAGGGAGATCCATGGTGCATCAGCACAGAACAAGAACAACACCATCGTCAGGGCAATCCATGTGGAGGAATAGGCAACAACGGAACGCGTCAAGAGGTGCGGGCAAAAATAGTGTGTAAAAAAAAAAAATGTACATTATTAGCCAATGCAACAAAGGACATATCGCACCGAGGACAAAGTAATGAATTGTCAGAGAGGAGATGCGGGCGATGCGAAGAGAACTCGATTGCACCTCGGATTAGCACGTTTGGCTACGTACGGTGCGAAAGAAGATTCAACGTGCGTACGTACGTACGTCAATACGATCGAGCAAGTTAAACAACAGCCACCAGGAGAACATGGGAAAGTAACAGCAGGCAGGTTGGGTGCCCGGGGCAGCAGCCGAACCATGTGTTGTGAGTTCGGAGGGATTTGGACCGGCTGGAGGGAGAGGCGAGGGCATTCCAGTAACGTGGCGCAGCAAAGCGGTCGAAAAATGGTTGAAAAATTCCACGTTACCCTGGCAGTGGCTAGGCCGTTCATAGAACGATCACCAGTGTGCTACTCTATACTCTTTGGTTCTATTTGGTAAAGTCACGTAGGTAAAAAATAAAACAAGAAAAAATCACGACGTTTCGGCCACAACACAAGTGGCCTTCATCAGGTGAAGGGACCGGACTGTCCAGAGGACAGCATTGCTGTCCCTTCACCTGATGAAGGCCACTTGTGTTGTGGCCGAAACGTCGTGATTTTTTGTTGTTTTATTTTTTACCTACGTGACTTTACCGAATAGAACCAAAGAGTATGGATCCTTGCAGTCACGAAAGCTTCAAATCTGGAAAGTGCTACTCATTTCACAAACAGGGGGGGGGGGGGGGGGGGTGGGGGCGGGCTGGTTGAGCCAGGCCGTGCCAATGCCTCCTCCTCTTCGTCCTCCGGAGGGTCGCACGCCAGCCAGCGACGACACGACTGATGACGTTGATTGATTGAGATGACGAAGGGGAAGATGGTAGTACATTGAGCTCTACGGGGAACGCGCTGTGTTCCCCGTTTTTAGATTTGTCCCAAAAAGGAAACGTGACCATTGGGAAATGGGGTGCGAGGTTTCAGATCGATCTGAAATGTGCGAGGTCAACGGAAATGACACCGCCTTGCCGTGCCACCTCCGTGCTGCTCGTGCCAATGGTGGCATCACGCGGTACCGGGTTGGAGTCACTTTTGTCCGCATTGCAAACGATCTGAAAAAATCCCACGAGGAGGTCTCAAATTGTCCTGCTGCAGACTGCACATATGTAGGGAGCGGCACTCAAGGCTGTGTCTATCTCCGTGGTCTCGAGAAAGTATCGCGGTACCCAGAATGGCACCCTTAAACCGTCCTTTGTATGCACAAAGGGCGCAGGGATTCGCTTCCCCTCGCAATACGATGGATTGTCGCTTTTTTCAGGATAAAAAAAATCTAGTATTTTCGTAAAAATGTGTGTCCATTGCCCTCCGAACTAAACCAAAATAATTATTTGACCCCAACGGGATAGTAAGCTAAGTTGCAATCTTCTGGAACCATCCATCCAGACACATTTGGTCATCATTAGTAACAACGATTGGGTAGGTGTGACAATAAAACCGTCGACTCACAGACTGGCTGAGTTGGCATGTGGGATATTCGTCCTCCCTAGCGAATTGGGAGGTGTCATTCAAATGTTTTGTCATTCCAGGTTTATCAACGCACGGCGACGGATAGTCCAGCCCATGATCGATCAGTCCAACAGGGCAGGTGAGGGCTTTCTCTCTTCATATCCTAAGCAGAGTATTTTACATTTTCCACGCAAGTAACATCTCAATGGTGCTCTTCACATACAAATAAAAAAACAAAGCACATCTCATGTTGTATCTGCAACATCATCATCACCACCATCATCTCTCCGTTAACTATAATAGTCATGGAGGCACCCCTGATGCCTCTGCTGTCAACTTTTACCACTTTTGCCTGTCATTTGCAGTTGTTTGTCAGGTGCTGTGCCGGCTGTTTCGTCCATGTTGTCGCATGGCATCCATCTTGTTCTTGGGTGGTCCTTTTCTTTTCCGTTGTACGACGCCGTCTGATGGTGATGATGGTGAAACTATAAACTAAACTTTTTATTTTATTTTACCAGGCTAAGCCCACTGAGCTATACAGCTCTTTTTCAGAAGCGACCTGGCCACAAATTCTAGGCACAACGAAGTGGCTTATCTTGTTGAAATTTCTAGCAGCCAAATACTCTAAAACGCATTTTTCTAAATGTCGTAGGGAAAAACTGGAGACAAATCAACGTAGTCACGGGGAAAATGTGCACACTCCAAATATACGAGCGTCAAGGCCGGGATCGAACCCACGGTCCTCCTGCATACCAGGCGAGGTAGTTAATGCCTCGCCACCGCGGCGCCCCCGTGATGTTGGAGAGTCCCCCCACTCCGTGTGACGAGTCCAAACCGCCGCAGCTCCCTCAGTTTCACCGTTGCCAACAGTGGTTGCCGTTCTCCCACCTTTCCCGTGAGCCCAGCCAGAGTTGTGTCTGCAGTCGCGGTCTCGGCCACAAATGCCGTTGAGGAAAGGAATGATGTCACTCCTATGTCTTTCACTTTATCGGCTGCGGGGCTTGGTGCATAATTGCTCCACGGCCATCCCTCCGAACAAATTGATGCCAAACTGTGCCCTCTTGAATGGGGCGCTTTGATTACATTTCTGGAAGTGATCAGCTAAAAAGAAAAGGTTTAATCGTGGTAACGCTTTCAAGATGCATCATTAACAAACAATCAGATAAAAGCAACCTTGCAGTTTCTCATTCACGTACCAACATCGCAAACGAATATTGTAATAATTTAAAATGTATCGTATAAAACTGCATTTTTTTAATAATCCATGTTTTTCAATTACTTCACGATCTCATAATCACACAAAAAACTTTGGTATAATTTCAAGACAATGTTTAATGATTACAAAAAGGCCGACAATATATTATATATTTGAGATATATGCTTTAGTATATCGCTTAAAGATGTTGATAGATAAAAATGTACACGCTCATTAGTGCGCATTATCCCTTCAAGTGGGCACAAGTGAAAAAAACACAAAAATATCACGCGAATGTTTACGTAAAAAAAATCCCACAATTCGTGATTAATCATCGCATAAGAAATTGTAAACAACTTTGAGGACTGGAATTGAATGCGGCCAGATATCATCGCAGATGTGAACGGGAAGAGTAGCTTGCCGTGAGAGGGATGGACGCGCGGAATGGAGAAGGTTAGGTTACCAAGAGTGGCATCCAGAAGTTAGCCACCATGGGGAAGAGAAAACCTAGGGCCAGATGGGGATGCTGCTGCTGGTGGTGGCAATGAGGTAGGTGGTAGTGTAGCGGTTAGCGTGCTGGACAATGCTACGGACCCATAAATCTAGGTTCGATTCCCGTTCGATATTATCTAAACCGGTCCTGGCCCTCCCCTTTGTCGACTCAGCCTCAAATACGTACCTGGTGCGGTGTGTAAAAATCACCACGAGGGAGACAACGGCGGTCAGGCGTGGTGCTGGCCACCCGCTCCCATCATGTGCCGTGCCAGCCTTTCATAGGTGCTCGCTAACAGCACTTGCCCCAACAGTCTGTTCAGGCTAAACCGGGGATCTTTGTCTCTTGGCAATGAGAATGTAAGTTGCAGTCCTCGGGGGCAGGGTGTCAACTGTGCAACAGCTGTGCGTTATAGCGGACGGAAGTGATGGCAAAGTGTGGAGGCATCACCGACACTGACCGCTATGACCGCTTGACCCTGACACTTGTGATAATGAGCGTCCAATTATAGATGTTTCCAGGTATCCCAGGGTACCTCTTGAGCCTGCAACATCTCAAGAAAGTGCGGTCACAAGCACTTCACGTGAAGGCGTGTGTAGAACTGCTCACAATTGCCACCCGCTGAGATTCTTCCGTGGTTCACCCCTTCCTTTCTCCACCCGTGCCGACGCACCCTGATCGCTTCCAGACTCCACACACACACACACACGTAACAGGATAAACAACAATGCCGTTTCCCAGTATAAACGTGCGTGGCTCAATGATTGTATGTAATTAGACTCGTTAAGAGGGCGCATTTGTAATGAGCCCTGCAAGAGCTGTCGCATTTTCATAACGTGAATGTGCGCAGCAGCCGTGTTATAGTTTGAAACTTTCCCAGGATTTATTTTTCTTTACTCCAGAACACTAGAAAGGTGACGAACAAGAGGGGGGGTCATTCAGTCTCTCCAGCTCGTTAGAGCGGGAAACCTCAGACAAGACGGAAGGCAGCCAAATATCGGTGCCAACAATTTCTCAAAGCTCTGTGTTCTTGCCAGTAGGGGTGGTGGTGGTGGATACTTGCCATGTGCAATCCCAATTGTGTACTTTATGGGTCATTTTTTTTTTATTGGGAAATTTTAACCATGACGCTGGCACACAGTGGCCTGCCCTTGCGAACGACCTCATGGGATTTTTTTTTTACGTCCACTTTTGAAGCGGATGCCGCGCAGACACGGTTAATACATAGTCACGGTTAATACGTCGTTATGGTAAATACATAGTCACGGTTAATACATAGTCACAGTTAATACATAAAATTTTGATTTAAAGCTTTCGTGACTGCAGGGATTCATATTCTTGGTTCTTTCGGTAAAGTCACGTAGAAGGGAAACAATAAAATAATACAAAAATATAAAACAATAAAATTCTCACGACGTTTCGACTGCAACACAAGCAATCATCATCAGGTGTGAAAACCACAACAAGAAATTTTGAAAAAAGTGGTGATAACCGCCACTTTTTAACCGAGTTAATACATAGACTCGGTTAATACGTAGTGGCGGTTAACACGTAGTCACGGTTAATGCGTAGTGACGGTTAATACATATATAGTGACTGAATCGGAGACAGAGTTGGAGGCACTCTGTTTATTAACACGCACCATCGGGTTAACACTTCCAAATAATCCGTCTATAGTTGACTACGGTTCCCCAGTCAGGACGGCCGGTAGACTGCCTGACTGGCGACGCCGTGATGGTGAAGACGGAGACGACGGTGAAGACTCCAGCAGCATGACGGGGATCTCACTCCAAACGACAGCCTCGAGGTCCCCTCCCGGGGCCCCTCTTATACTGTCAGCGTGGCCTGGCTCCGCCCCCGGCCACGCCTCCTTCTAGAACCTACCCACGGGTTCCTGGTGTATCCCTTCCGTGACCTTTCCCCTAGATCCCCCTCTTGTCTATCACCTGGCTTGCTGCTGTCAAGACTGCTGGAAGCTACAGATGCCCTTCCCCGCTAGCAGCCAGCGCTAGGCTGCGACATAGCTAATTCTACGTCACTACACACAGTCACGGTTAATACCTAGTCACGGTTAATACGTAGTCACGGTTAATACGTGATCACGGTTAATACATAGTGACGGTTACGGTTAATACGTGATCACGATTAATACAGTCACGGTTAATATGTAGTCACGGTTAATACGTGATCACGGTTAATACATAGTGACGGTTAATACGTAGTCACGGTTAATATGTGATCATGGTTAATATGTAGTCACGGTTAATACAGAGTGACGGTTAATACATAGTGACGGTTAATACGTGATCACGGTTAATACATAGTGACGGTTAATATGTAGTCACGGTTAATACGTGATCACGGTTAATACATAGTGACGGTTAATACATAGTGACGGTTAATACATAGTGATGGTTAATATGTAGTCACGGTTAATACATAGTGACAGTTAATATGTAGTCACAGTTAATACTTGATCACGGTTAATACATAGTGACGGTTAATATGTAGTCACAGTTAATACATAGTCACGGTTAATATACTCGCAGTATTAATCAGGGCAGCCGCTGGACTCGAACCTCCTCAAAAACAGGCGGACGCGCTCTTTGCGAGGCAGTTTTAGTCGTAGTATGATTTAACATCACTCTCCATTTTGTATGGGAATCAATAACAAACCAAATATGCAAAATAATAATTATTCAGAGCGAAAAAAATATCGAGTTGTAAAACCCGTGGGATGTAAAAATACAGTATTCTATCGAAAATGCTGTCTGCACAAACAAATTAAAAATATTAAATCAAAGACATGCGTACAGAGCAAACACGGCGTCTGGCAATTTAAATCAAAGATGTGAGCTTGGGGTTCGAGTGATTTTGTTTGTTTTGGATTTCCTTCATTTACCCCGCTAAGATTTCCCAATCCGTCGATCCAATTTACCGGAGGGGAGGAAGGAAGAAGAAAAAAGAAAGACACGAGCATCGGGTTGACCCACGGAAATGTGTTATTTTGTGAAAAATGTGCAAGGGGGTGTGGGAGGAACATCCCAGGCACGAGAGCGGAGTGTGGGAAAAGGTCAGTGGCATTTTCGTACTGGGTGGGCGGAAGCGTCCGGGGAAATGCTCCCTCGCCCTCGGTCCCCTGGAAACGGCAACCAAATAACAGCGGCGATAGCAGCAGCGGCAGAGGCGGCGGCAGCAGCGGAAGCAGCAGCAGCACCTCACGCCATGTTTAACCTCTCTTGCACCCAGTCGCGTTCGCTGCAAAAAAATGAGCGCAAGGGGCTTTTTTTGTTGGTGCTCATTTTTATTTCCGCCCGTCCGTTCTCCGTCGTGCTGTTTCATCGCCGCATGTCCCCCTCCCTCCCTGCCGCCGTCCCCGCTCGATCGATTTGTATTCTCTCAATAATGATCACGTTGTGCCACGCACGTGCGGGACAGCCCCTTTTTGTCA